GCATTAAGCAGATATTATTTTTTGCCTCACTTCTGTTTTTTCTGTGTCTGAAAGTACTTACCTGAAGACCAGGTAACTGTGTAACAGCTCCTTAAAGTACAAGGGGAAATGGCTCCCTGGCGAGTGTAAATCTGTGTGGCTCCACTGATGCTGATGGGACTGCCCTACTGTACCTGCATTGAGGGTCTGCTTCATTATTTTCCTGAAGTCCCAGCTCTCTACAGTGGCAGGAGCGGCAGCGGCTAGGGACAAGAGGCTCTTGATCAGCACACATACTGTGACTGGGGCTGGATGTGCTCTGTGGCCTGACAAGTGCCTTGGGGTAAAAATCTCAGCCACATCCCAGTTTCCTAGTTTGTGAAAGTACCATAATAAGTTCCAATTTGTTTTTCATCATTTGAGACTTTGGAGGAAGTAAGGGTGAGAGGATCTTACTAAAAGGTGGGAAATGAAAGTCTTTCCTGGTTTTGCCCTTTGTCACCAAACCGGTGGTCCCAAGCTCCAACTCTTATTAGTCTTCCTTGCAGCCAACAGCTGAAAGGTTCAACTTTCAAGTCAGGTTGGTTGAACTGTTAATGTTGCATGAGATTAAAAATGACTCCAATTAATATACCTTATCAGGGAGGTGAAACATGTAGTTTGTATTGGACCTCTGCCTTTCATCTTCCTAATTTTGACTGGGGGAATGAAGAGAGAAGTAGAAAGGGTAACTCCAGTATTGGAAGTCTGTAGCCAAAGTCAGCTTCACTAGTCCACTCCATTCGTGGAGAAGAAAGTCAGTGAGAAAAAGAAGTTAGGAATGGAATATTTTTTTCTAAGTCCTGCAGATCAGCCTTCCTGAAAGTTGATGAACTGGGTTTTCTTCCTTTTTGTGCATTGTCAACAGACTTGTTTAACAAATACCAAGAAGTTATTCTGTTGAGCCCCACTGAAAGCCAACATTAGCCTCCCCAAGAATCTGGTTATTGTGTATGATTGGGGTAAATGGTTGTAGTTTGAACAGCTAAAGCTCACACAATACTAATTCTGAAGAATTAGTCCTCAGAATAGAATTGGACTGTAAAACCTAGAGTCCATAGATGACAAGAATGCGGAAACACAAGGATATGAATTTACTAACGCTTGAGAAACACTCGAGCAGAAAAAAAGCCCAACTTGTGGGAAATTCTTTCCCTCACACATAATATTTTCTTACTGATTTAAAGTTATCCTTAGTAAGAAGTTGATGCCAGTGAAATATTTTAGCTATAGGAAACCTGAACCCAACTACTGCCTTTCTATAAATTATGAGTCATAAATTGAAAGAAGAATATTCAGATTTGCTACAGCTATTCCCCAAGTAGAGCCTATGAGTAATGGAGAAAATATTGCATTTTGGGGAGCAGGGAGGAAACTACGCTCAGCAAAACAAAAATGCCAAAGACAGGCATACAGCTTTTTGCTGCATGTGAATGAATGTCAGTTGAAAAGATTGTCTGTTGTTAAAGTAACTGAGCAACCGTCAAGTTACATGTACTTACAGTTTATTTGAGTGTATGAAGTTTTTCCTTGTGACAAATGAGACGAAAGTTAGCCATGAATATTAGGGTACCTGAAAGCCAATCATGTATCTGTGGTCTGTGAGGGAGCCCACATGGGTTTCTGCTTGTCCAGCTTTAGTGTTTGTTGTGTTGGCAGCCCTGCAGGGATCAGGGTGGTTCCCTTCCCCTCCTGCTTTTCTTCATGACCCACTGTAGGATTTTTGGTTCGGGTGCATTGTGTTTGTAGGATGAGCCAGAATGGATGCTCTTGTAGGAGCCTCTCTGGGGAGATGCTTATTAGGCAGTTAGTTGCCTGAAGCCAGAAGAAACTAAACTGTGTGGCCCAGGAGCTCCCTGTGACACATGCTCATAACACGGGCTCACAACATGTTCACAAAATAGACAAATTGGGTCCTCAATGGGTGGGTTATCGATGGTGATGTGGAGACCTTGAGAATGGCCATTAAATGAGAAAACATTAAGAACTGTGGACAAGTCACTTTGGCAGAGATGGTGCTAATGCTAACCCTCCCCAGGCCTAAATTTTAACTGTCTGGCTCCAGGAGTGCAGTTCATAAACTCAAGCTAAACATGAAGGACTAGATCCTACTCCACCTATTAAGACCTAAATGAGATACTATCCTACCCTGTTTGAGTGCCTGAAAATCCATTAAAGCATGTATTTTTGTAACATGGTGTCATCGTAGCATTAAGGCTGTGTTACAGGAAAGCAGCAAGGAAGAAGGGGACCCACCCACCTTTTGTATTAATAAGTTTCCAGGCAGTTGAGAAGGGTGGAGTACGGTCACATTTGAAGTGCCTAATAGGTGAAGTAAGCTCTGGCCCAAAGTGTCCTATGCATTGAATAAGGGAAGTTGGGCATGCAAGAATGGGATTTGCTAGAGCCAGCAGAACTAAAAGGAGAGGGGTATATCTGCAGTCCTGACCACTCCTGGATTTAGGTCTCAATTGACAGATCAGAGTTAGGCACTGATGTGAGGCTGGGATTCATAGCTCCAAACCTCTTCCTTGGCCTTCCCAAGCTGTCCCTTTTGGAAATAAAAAGATGCCTGCTGCTTTTTTAAAGTGTGAACAGCCACCCACTTTTTATAATAGCCCAGTGGTGAGGGCACTCATGTGGGAGATTGAGTCCTGGGTAATGGGCCCCCTTCAGCCTTAGAGGTTACAAACCTACATCCCACCTCCCAAGAGAGTGCCCCAACCACCTGCATTCCCATCTCTGCTCCTGGGAACACCAATATATTTATCGCTATCACTTGGTGGGTAGTTCACTCTCCTGGGGTGTGAGAAATGTGGAATTTAAACTTCCTCAGGTTTTCACATCCTGGGCAAGTGGTTTAGCCAATCTGTCACATAAACAGTGGGTGTCAGCTCTACCATCACCACCAGGGCTGTTTTTAAATGAAAGTGCTTTTGGCTGCTCTGCTTTGTGCAAAATTCAGCACAGTCAGCATATGCTAGATTCACTGTGTGTGCTCTGAGAGACTTAAGTAGGGGACACTGAGGCTGTTCATCCCAAATGGCCTTGAGAGGGAGATGTGATGGTCAGCCATGATAACACCACCTCTTGGCAATCTTGGTAGCAGTTTCCCCTTCTTTTCAAAGAGGACAGAGCAGCTGTACCTCAGAGGCCTTACAAGGCTAAATGCATCATTGTAAGTGAAATGTTCACATACAGCAGCCGTAAGAAAAACACACAAAGTAAACCCCATGAGAAGGCTGCGCTTGTAATGAGAGGGGGACGCTGGCCCCAGATTCTGGGCTCGTTTCATCCAGTCACAAAGGTTAGACACTTTGTTAAACAGTTTCAGCTTTTAGGTTGTGTCTTGTGACTTCCACATCAGCATTTAGCACGTTAGTGGTAATTTGGACTACAGCAACACCCATGCTATACTAGGCAATTTCCAGCCATACAGTTGGTTGAAGACACTGGGTGGTCCCCACATTAATTTCCATTGAGCTGGGATGTTTTGCCAAATAAAATGCTATCTCTACTCTGATAGGGTTATTACAATATTTGTGAAATTTTAAGTTTCATAGTGGCCCTTGAATATAATTGGGAGAATAAGGAACAAAATGATCAATTACAAGAAGTGTTAAATCTTTTTTTCCTACCCTAAATCCGACTGCTGCTTTTGGCAGATCGGATTTGAGTGGTTTTTTAAGGGGTTCTTATAATACAGTTTTCTGTGAGCTGCTGCTTCAATATAAGAACAAGTTCTACACATTTTTATGTCTAGTCAAATTAATCTGTCTGTCCCCATTTTAGATTTTATTTGGCTGAAGACTTTTTTTTTTTTTTTTTTTTTAATACAAGAGCTTAGGAGAGCAAAGCATTCTTTTCACAGCTTATATTCCAGTACATCAAAACTCACAAACTTATCCTAAAAGAGTCCCTTTTAAGGAACCTAGTGCCCAAACCTACAGAACTTGTGTTAAGTCTTTCTAATGAGTGGAGAGGCTACCCTGCCCTACCTTCTGTAGGGCTATCTAATAAAATATTTTCCATTTAAAGAAGCCAGAGATACTTTACAGATTCTTATTAGGCCTTTTGTACCTCTCTCAATTAACAACATATACACTTTCAAGATATGTAAGTTAACTCACCAGAAGAGAAAGGACCTGTCCAAAGTCATGTGTTAATTTAGTTGCGGAGTTGAGATTAGAACCCTGTAACTAAATCTCTCTAAAGTGTGTATCACTGACATTCATCTTCAATTTGTAGTTGTCTCTTTTGATCACTGCTAATGTACAGCCGAGATATTAGCTATCCTTTAGAAAGAAATATTACTTATCTTTTAAAGAGCACCAACTTGCATTTTGTTCGCCCAAGGGACAGTAATTTTAAAAATACCCTTTACATTTATAAACTATAGGGAATGTTTGTCCTAAATTAATAAAAAATAATTGTGGCTTTTGGTCTCTGCAAACTCAGTAAGAGCAATATTACATGAATTTTCATGCAATACAATATGATCCTTATTTTCCTCCTGTATGTTGTCTAGTCCCATTTGTTTTGAATAATAACAACAATTGAATTATTCAAAATGTCTTTTTATAGTATACACTGATTTAGAGCAGCAGCAACTGAAAAAGTAATTAAACTGTAGCTACTGCAGTTTTTAGTTGTCATTTTGCATATCATATAACAAGGCCAGTTTTGGGGGGACATGTATAACAAGGCCAATTTAGGGTACCTGGAGCATGAAGTACTTTGCTATGAAATATTGTGTGTGTGTGTGTGTGTGTGTGTGTGTGTGTTGTTTTGAAAGTCAAATAGGACACCCAAATATTTTGAGAACACATATGTCCAATTGGCTCCAGGCAGCTTTGATCTGGTGTGAATTAAAAAATGTTGCTTTCAATATAAAAAGGCTTGTTGTTGCCTACCCCAAGTGTAATTCTTGGACTCTGTCTGAGAGCATGCTTTAACTCTGCTTTGTTCTTAATTTTATTTAGGAGATGGCTGTACGAGCACTGAAGCAGACAGGCAGCAGGAGCATTGAAGCAGCTCTGGAATACATCAGTAAAATGGGCTACCTGGATCCCAGGAATGAGCAGATTGTGCGTGTGATTAAGCAGACCTCGCCAGGTAAGCATAAGATTCTTTTGCCGTACAGTCCTCTTCCATTAAATTTTATTTCGGAAGTGAATTTGTTGCTTGTTGGAAGATCTAGGATCAGTGGCAGTGGACAGGATTATTTTAGTCGCACCATAACCACAGTCTTGACAGTGGTAACTAACACAAGCTTCTCATTCCATCTTGTTAATGTGCTTCAGCCCTTGTACTATAGGTGTTGATCCTTATGAGGATTTGTGGGGCAAGACCCTGGATGCCTCACAACAGGATGAATACAAATTATACAGCAGGACCCTTGTGTTCCACAACAGTTACGCTGCAAACCAGAAATCCTGCAGCAGTTTTATGTATTTTATTTTAAATACTCTTTTAATTAACCAAATATGAAAATGAGTACCCAGATGTGTAGTTGCTGTTGCTGTGGCTGCTGTTGACTGTTTTGATACTATGTTTGAGGCTAGCTTTGAGCCTTCAGTTTTCACTCTACTGCAGAATTTTTTCAACCCGTTTCATCATGAGTTGACACGTAAGGAGGTATGGGAGGCCATTTAGGAGCACACTATTTGGAGACTGCGGTTTAGATGGTTGGCAGTGAGGATTAGCTGTCCGATCTACCCCTTTGAATGCTTAAAGCTGATGCAGTGTCTCTTCTGAAATGTCCTTCATGGGAGTAAAGCTCTAAGTAGTGTTCTGCCCAGCGTGAAGGTTGTCATATGCTAGAGGTAACATATAACCTTCTAAGGGCTTGTCTATATCAGAACACACATACCTAAAAATCCATTCAAAAGGAGTCTAGGGACAGGGGTGCAGACCCTCAGAGCACTTATATCAGTTTAGCTTTATGCAGGAACATTCACACTTCCTGCACAGCTGCCTCTACATTGTTTATCCTTCTCTTCTTCCAGATCCTACAGAAAGCACTGTGCAAATCCAGGTGTGTGCTGGGGAGGGGAGGTAAGATTGGGCTGGCCAGGTAATGGAGAGAAGTGTCTAGGAAGTGGAAAGAACCTCACCTGGACAAACCTAACCTTGGTTTTTATCTACTTCAAAGCCTCTTCTATTACTGAAAGGCCCAGAGGCAATCATAGTTGCTTAGAGCGTAGTCCCTGGTAGCTGTTCCTAGGGAGTGGGAGAAGGGGTAACTATTATGACTGAAGAGACCACATTCTGCTTCTCGTTGGAATAGTTTGGCTATTTTATCTGCACATCTTGTGCTTTCTGTTGGGGAGCTCAGAGGGGCTTCTTTTTCCAGGGCCCCTTCCCAAAAGGAGATAATCTGGCAGACAGACTTGCAACTGCTAATCCCCTTTTTTTGGACTGAGGTATAAGGCCTGCAGAAATGGGCCCTCAGCTAAGTGCTAGGAAGGCTTTTAAAATAATTTTGACAGAAGTGTTTATCTGTGGTTTGCCCCCTTTGTTAGAAGGGGTTCTTTTTTTCCTTTCAAATATATTAAAATCCTTTACTCTAAATGCAGCTATTCTCTTTGATAATTTAAGTTGCATCTTTTGGTCCCTATTTCTTGAAATCTTTTTTGCACAAAGGTTTTAATTATCCAGTTGGTGTAATTTTCTTTTTCTTCTGATCACCAAGGATCCGGGTTTTCTGTTTCCCATGGAAAAACAAAGATTTTCTTCTTTAAAGGGGAAAATAATGGATTTCCCCCTTAAAAAAGAAAAACTCGGGGTTTCCCTTTACAGGCTGGTAGAGTTCCAGCCTGCAAGGGGGTGGGGGAGTGGGAGGAGGGTGATCAGAGGCAGGGCGCCCACGTGTATGTGCACGCAGGTAGCAGGAGAGGGTGGAGAGGCATAGGTGACATGTAGGGGAGGCGTGGGGGGACATGTCCCCCCCATATTTCTTTTGCCACAGTGGGGCACAGAACTGCAGCCTGGCTGTACTGACACCATGAAGGAGCCACCTCTGCAGCCCAGTGGGTGGGACCCAGTATGGTAGGGCAGAGTGGGCAGGGAGGATCAGTGCTGCCGCCACCACTGCTGAGAGTGCCGCATTGCCACGGCGGCCAGGGTTAAACATCCTCTGTAGCCCAGCAGCATCAGAGGGGCACAACTCCACGGCACTGCCTCACCTTGGTGGCCATGGTAGTGCGGTGCTTCCTCCTGCACCAGGATCTGCTCACTGGGATGCAGAGGCAGCTCCTGCTTGGTGCCAGTCCAGTTCAGCTGCAGCCCTGTGCTCCACTGTGGGCACAGAAACCTGGGAGGGACGCCCCCCTGACACATGGCCTGTTTTGTTGCCTATGCCCACACCTGCCTCATCCCCATATACCTATCCTCTACCCTGCAAACATACCCCCTTCCCCACACACTGGGAGGCAGGGGGCAGCAGATCAGGAGCAAGGGGCACCAGCAGGGCCGGGGGTAGAGCAGGGGTGGGCAAAATATGGTCCACAGGCCAGATCCAGCCCAGGGAAGGCTTTGTTCAGCCTATGGTGGGTCCCTCGGTCCTGGCTGGCCCAGACGCTGTCCATCTGTCATGCATCCTGCTGCCCCTTGGGCACACAGCAGACTGCCCAAGTCTGCAGCTGGTGGCTCTGCAGCTGGACTGCCTTTCTAGGCTTCTTCCATGTGCCACTACTGGCCCCAGCCCCACAGTACTGATGGGGACCCGCACTGTACAGCCCCGACCTGGCCTACCTCGTGCCTGCTTTGGACTCACCTGCTCATGCTAAGCAGGGGCAGCAGTGCCGGCCAGGCAGAAACTGTTGCTCAGCGCAGGGGGGAAAGCAGCCCCTCCCCTCTGCTGCCCAGTGCTTCCTGCTATAGCCACCTAGAGGCTGCGACTGGGCTGCCCTGTGGCTCCGCCACCATCACCACTGCATCCGGGCTGCCCTATGGGACAACAGGGGCACTACAGAGGCATGGTGTGAGTCCCCACCAGTACTTTGGGGCTGGAGCCAGCAGCAGCAGCTGATGGAAGAAGCTGCTGCTGCTTGGTCTGTCTAGAAGTCCAGCTGTAGAGCCGCCCCAGCCCCGCTGCATGCCCAGGGTGCAGCAGAATGTGCCATAGGCGAGTGGTGCAGAGCAGGTGCTGGGTCAGCTGGGGTCAGGGTTGTAGCGCAGGTTCCAGCTGGTCCACACCTGCTAGGGTGAGTCTGTAGTGGGTATGGGACGGGGCTGGGGCTGCGCGCTGTTGGCGGTGGCAGTGAGGCACCGCAGGGCTCACGGGCTCCAGGTTTTTGCAGGGAAGGGGTGGGTGCTGACCTACTCAAGGGGGCATGTGGGGAAGCTCCCATGGACACCCCACCATACTCGCAAACCCTCCCCTGCAAACCCCACAACCACACCCTCCCTCACACACAATCACAAATACCGTACTCAGCCACACGCTCTCCCGCACTCTCCCCACATGCAGGGTTTTTAATCGGAGAATTTTGGATTTTCTTAAGAGACAGCCAGGATCCCTGTATCACATCCTGGTCTCATTTAAGCAGAATATAGGACTACAGTAATTCCAGGATCAAATAGTTATGGCAGCTAGTCAAAGCAGTTACTTTTTAAGCTCTAGGTCTGAGGTCACTTTGAGGATAATGAGAAATGCAAAAGTCAGGTGGTATGTGACTGGCATGTATCTTTGTGACATGTCAGGCAATATTTTGATTTATCTTGGTATTAGAGTTGGGCTAGGTTAGTGCAGACCCTTGCATTTGAGTAGATGGCATACAAGCCTTCCTGGAAGCTTTGAGATTCTCACAATGAGAGGTTTAGAGATTTCCATACTGTTCTATACATTTTGAAATGCTTCATCTTTATGTGGTTTTAAGTACACTGTTGTAGTTAAAACCACATAATTGACAGCACATTTCTAGTAAGTGGATGAGGACTAAGTGACTGACATCAGCTGTTGGATCAGATGGAGGGAAGGAGGGAGAGAAAGAAAGTGTTTTCCCCACATAAAGCAGGTGTTGCCCATGCAGTCAAAAGTTTCACCAGTTTGAAAGGGAGAAAACGGACAAAAATCACTTCCAAAACATGTCACGCTTGGTACCTTCAGAGACCCAAACATTCCTCAGTTGAACCAGGATAGGACTTGGTGGACCTGATCTAGTGACGCTGTTTCAAGAGGTACAAGGCCCCATGCAGAACTAAGGAATTCACCCCAGAGGAAGGCAGGATTCCTGCAGCTTCAGTTTGCTGTTCTGTGTGAACCCTGCCAGCAGAGATGCTGAGTGGTTTTGCTGAATCAGTTCATCCTCAGGCTATACCTGCTTTTGGGCCACTGCCAGCTGACTGACACCTAGTGTGTGTGCAGCGAGCTTGTTTTATACAAGTTTGGTAGTACACGACACCCTCACCCCCAGTAACTAATGATCAACAAGCTGTGAGTGGTGCACATTGGGTTTAGTACCACTGAACGGCAGCTTCCAGCTCTTTGTGGTTTGTGATTTTGATTCCATCCTGGCTTTTAAATCCAGGCTAGAATACAAACCTGATGACTTCATAAATAAGGCATTTGAACTTTCATTTTCAGGATTTGTTAAAGCCCCTGGTGGCTCCTCCCATGAAAAGAGCTGTGGGCCTGTCAGTCATCACCTGTATTTAAAGCAGTTACTAAAGCAGCACCTATCACTTTAAATGTTCAGATCACCTAACTTAATTTGACTTTGGGTTTTTTGTCAAAATACGCACTATAGACAATGTTGTATATGTGCAGATGGATTAGTAAAGTAACATAATTGGTCCCCCCCTCCCCCACAACCTGAGTTGTTTGCTAACCTCTTCTGTATTCTTTTTATAAAGGGAAGGGGATGGTGCCAAATAACGTAACCCGCAGGCCAAGTTTTGAAGGATCAAACGAGTCTTTTCCGTCCTATCATCAGATTGGCAATGCAACCTATGAAGGGACAAGCTTTGGAGCAGAAGGTGCAGACATGCTCAGTGATGTTCCAAGGCCATACATGGACTATTTAATCTCTGCTTCACAGTCTGCAGCCCTGAACCCTCCTGTACAGAGACCTTCAGCAGTGGGCTCTCACAGTGCTCCTGGAAGCCATCAGCATCAGCAGAAAACATACTCTGCAAATATAGACTCCTCTGTGATTAATTACCCAGGGGCTAATCATGGCAGCCAAGCTCTACAGCTACAGGTCACACATGGCCCAAACAGCCCACATTACAGCAGGCAGCACATGATGGTGCAGGGGGAACCGATGGGATATGGCATTCAGCGGACTCCATCTTTCCAAAACAAAATGCAGCAGGAGGGAGGATATGCAAATCTCCCAAATAAAGGGACGGTTGTTCAGAATAACTCTGGTCATGCATTTCAGCAGGCACCAGCGAGTCTGTATATACCACATTCTCATCACAAACAAACAAGCCCTTCCTCTCATCAAATGCATGTGATAGCCAGAGGTTCAGCCTTTGCTAATGATTTTTCAGATAGTTCACCACAGAGCTTATTAACTCCATCTCGAAATAGCCTAAACATGGACCTGTATGACATGAATAATCCTCAAGTTCAGCAGTGGCAAACAGCAACACCGTCACGCCGTGATTCTTTACAAAGCCCAGGAATAGAAACATCTCCACGGCAACACGTAACCTTCAGACAAGATGCCACAGTGCCAAGCAGAACAAACTCCTTTAACAACCACCAACAACAGCCCCAAGTGCCTGTATCTATGAGACAGGTTCCCCCAGGCAAACCTGATGCCTCAATTACATCTCCAAATACCATCACAGCAGTCACATCTGCTCATATTCTCCAACCGGTGAAGAGCATGAGAGTGATGAGACCTGAACCTCAAACTGCGGTAGGGCCTTCCCATCCTGGCTGGCTGCCTGCACAGACCCCAGCGGTGGATGGCTTAGAAATTATTGAACCACATCAGCTTCCCGTTGGAGGAGCTAATGCCTACCAACTAGAGGTTGATTATAGCAGCCAGGAGCCCAGATGTCCACCACCACCATATCCTAAGCATTTGTTACTTCCCAGTAGCTCTGAGCAGTTTGATATCAACTGCTTGTGTATGGGTGTAGAACAGACCCTCCGGGGGGTTCCCAGTTCAACATGCAGTAAAGCTGAGGAAAATGGTGAAAGGAATGACAAAAGCAGCAAGAATGCTAAAATGGAAAAACCGGGCAAGGATAAAAAGCAGATCCAGACATCTCCTGTGCCAGTGCGGAAAAATGGCAAAGATGAAGAAAAAAGAGAATCCCGTATTAAGAGTTATTCACCATTTGCCTTCAAGTTCTACATGGAACAACATGTAGAGAATGTCATAAAGACCTACCAGCAAAAAATTAACAGGCGGCTGCAGCTGGAGCAAGAAATGGCCAAAGTAATTGTCTTTGTTTGGTTTCAATAAAAGTTAGTCAGGGCCAAATTGGTATAAGTAGCTTCAGGCTCCCTGGGAAGCTGTTATGGGTTCAGCATCTCAGAAAACCAGACCATTCTTATTTAGGAGTCTGATTGTGGAGTTAGTTGTTGCCCCTAATTGAAGTACCAACAACATTTGCATTCACCCAGGAAACTCTAAAACAGCAGACATATTTCACATGGACACAGTAGACGGTGCTTTTGCATGATATCTATTTATGGTTTTCTCATCACTTTCAATTACAGTATTGCTTTACTAGGTTTTTTTGGGGGGGGAGGGGGTTACTGTTGGTTAACCTAAATTTCGCAGTTAATCCTGCCTGTTGCACAGGTTTCTTTTTGTCTCCCCTTTAACTGATTTACGTAGATTTCTTTTATACAGGCCTCTCACCACAGAGTGGCCCATCCAAAGTTCTGGGCTTTCAGGACATTTAAAAGCACTAGAATTTAGATGGAAATAAAAGCATCAGTAATCCTCTTTCCTCCCATCACGTTGCACATCCTTTGCTTCCCAGTCATCTGACCAGTCAGTAAATCCTCATTGCTCTTTACTGCCAAACAGAAAACATTGTGGAGTGCCCAAAAGGGAGTGAATTAAGAATCTTAAAAATAGGCATGCCAAAAGAAAGAGGTCTTTTGCAGAAAATGCAATGCCAGCAGACCCTTCCATTTTATAATGAAGGAATCAAGCTGAGGTATCTGTGAGGCATCTGCTGATAGCATTTGTGTTAGGAAGACAAGTAGAGAGAGATGACTTATCAGATACCTTGAGATCTCCTCCCTCTTCAGGAATTTATAGGTCAAAAACAAAACCTTAAATCCTACCCAGAAACCAATAACTAGACAGTGTAGATAAGTGAGCACTGGTAACCTGTGCTGCCATTTTGGGGCACAACTTTTGGCAGTTTATCTTAAAGTTTCTGGATGGATCTGTGTAGGTGTAGCTTCATGTAGATTGTATTATAGTAACCCAGGATCGTGGTGACATAGGCATGTCAGGAGCAAGATCCACATCCAACAGAAAGGAGCAGTCAGTTTCCTTTGTCAGGCTCATCTGGTTAAGCTGATGCTTTCTGTCAGGCACTCTGGAGAGTGTCTGCTAATTCTTTGTAGTGACATGAGCAGACCAATCGGAGATCTACACCAGATTTAAATAATATGCCAGGAGGCAATGAACTTGCAAGTGCTTTAAAAATACACCTATACACTGAGGCAGGGCCAAAAAACTTGAATGTCCTTCTCCTAATTCATGGTTAATTTAATCTAAGCATGTGCTCTCAAAATGCTAGTTGTATTGGTTTCTTACTATGAATGTAATTATACTGGCTGTTCTGTTTTGTGTTTTCCCCCTTATAAAGGCTGGTCTTTGTGAAGCAGAACAGGAGCAAATGCGGAAAATTCTCTACCAAAAGGAATCTAACTACAACAGACTGAAGAGGGCCAAAATGGACAAGTCCATGTTTGTAAAAATCAAGACCCTAGGGATCGGTGCTTTTGGGGAGGTGTGTCTTGCCTGCAAGGTGGACACTCATGCCCTTTATGCCATGAAAACTCTGAGAAAGAAGGATGTCCTGAATCGTAATCAGGTGGCTCACGTCAAAGCGGAAAGGGATATACTCGCTGAGGCAGACAATGAATGGGTGGTTAAACTCTATTACTCATTTCAAGATAAGGAGAGTTTGTACTTTGTGATGGACTACATCCCCGGCGGGGATATGATGAGTCTGTTGATACGGATGGAAGTCTTCCCAGAGCACCTAGCTAAGTTTTATATTGCAGAGCTCACTTTGGCCATAGAGAGTGTACACAGAATGGGATTTATCCATAGAGACATCAAACCTGACAACATTCTTATAGACCTTGATGGACATATTAAACTGACTGACTTTGGGCTCTGCACTGGATTCAGGTGGACCCACAATTCCAAATACTATCAGAAAGGTAACGGTCTTAGGTGCACCTGTTCTGACAACTGTGATATCATTTCACTCTGAAGATAGGCAGTGGTTTTTCTGTCAGTGTGCCAGCTGAAAGAACATTGCGTGTTTTATACGCTATAAAAGTGACTAGTGATGACTCATTGACTTGCTAGCTCATGCATGAAATTTGCTGTCTAAGTGCAGAGGTGCTCGATCTCCAATCTGTGGCCAAATGCGGCCTGCAGAGCCTTGGTATCTGGCCCATGGGGCTTTCCACAGTTCTGGAAATTTGGCAGCAGGGGAGCAGTGGCAATTTAATACGGTCACCCCTTCCTACTGCCAAATTCCAAAGCTTCACATGACAGATCAGAACCAGGCCATGCCCCCGCACAGCCAGATCAAGGCTGGACCACCCTCTTCCCTCCACGCAGCTGGGTTGGAGCTGGGCCACCCCTCTCCCCCCTTCCCTCCATGCAGCCAGGTTTGGGCCAGGCTACACCCCCTGCCTTCCACAGGATCAGGCCACTCGCCCTCCCCCTGTGTGGCTGGATGCAGGACAGGTCATGATCCCAGCCTCCACCCATGGGGCTGGGTTGGGGCCAGACCATGGTCCCTTCCCCCTTACAGCTGGATTGGAGCTGGGCTGCCATCTGTGCAACTGGATGGGGCCCCACCACACTTGCCTCAGGTGCTGGATCAAGACCACCAGCTGGATCTGGCCTGCCAGCTGACCGGGCACTGCCCACCCAGCTTGCCAAGCAAAAAGGTTGAACACTGCTCTCTTTGTGCATGAATCCTTTGCTTTCTCCATCAGCAACCTAAATGACTGCTGTGATTCCAGTAAATTTTCAGGTTTATTGGTTCAAGGGTCTATACTGACAATGAAAAGAATTAACCACAAAAGCAGCGGAGTTGATTGTATCCCAGCACCAACATTCATACGAATGCCATTGTTCAGGAATGAACCAGTTTTGAGCTGTAGTCACAGAATTATTTGTACACATAGGTATCTCCATTGTGGGAATGAGCTTTACAAGTCTTACTGTGGGGTGGGGACATGGGCACATTGTAAAAAACTGGCCTGGAAAAGGAGAAGTTTTAAAAAATGTAAATAATATTGGATTACGGTTTTATAGGAAACCCATTATTTACTCTAGTGAGAAGGCAATTCCTAGATGGCAAAACTAGCAAATCAGTCATTATTTTTCTCTTTATTTGATGTGCCTTTTATAAACAGTGCTATTCATGCAAAACTTTCTATCCCTTTTCCCATTTAAAAGGGAGCCACATCCGACAGGACAGCATGGAGCCCAGTGATCTTTGGGATGACGTGTCCAACTGTAGGTGTGGAGACAGGCTGAAGACCTTGGAGCAAAGAGTTAAAAAACAGCATCAGAGATGTTTAGCCCACTCATTAGTTGGGACCCCTAATTACATTGCTCCTGAAGTGCTGCTTCGTAAAGGTAGAGGACCTCAATTTTTTTCCTGTTAAATGAAAGCCAATGCTTAGAAGTGTACTTTTGGTTTTAAGTTTAAAAAAAAAAAAAAAAAAAAAAAAAAATGCCTGGTAAGTATGTTGGGTTTACTGCCCTAGACACTTAAGTGCAGATTTAACAGTATGTATCAGTACTGTTCATCATGTCCATTCAGTCTGTGGCATGTCTGTTCAGCTTACAGACAAAGGTGCAAGCTGGTGTCGGCAGTGACACTGTGCCCAAAACAGGAATCTGATCACTAGCTAATTCAGAAAAGCCAACAAGCAGCCTACTCATATGGTACCTATTGACTGATTCAGACTGGATTACAAACTTGTAAATTTACACGTTGGCTACTGATAAGAGGCAAGAGACAGGTTTGACGTTGCTTATACACCAAAACAGAAACCCCCCACAGTCATTAATGACTCCAGAAGCTTGTTTACTTTTAGCAAAGAGATCCTTCACCTTTTCTACTAATGCAGCAACTTCTGTGTCATCTTCTGGCACTTAAGTATGTGTGTGCAGGGTGGGGTTGTTGCAAAGAAAATTGCATGAGTTACTCCAACTAGTGCAGCCTCCTCACCTTGTTGATAACACATTTCAATCCAAAACTGAACGTTAGTATAATCGATCAAAGCTCCCCGCTTCTTGTGGGTCTGTGACCCCAAAATGGCATTACCATCTGCCAACATCATCTTCCTAAGTTATCTGAAAAATACATAGTTTCTAGTAAACAGCTTATTTCTTGGATAATAGGAACATGGGAAAGTTGACCATTAAACCTGTCTAAAGTCAAAAGCCCTGTGGTCTTCCAGTTTCCATCCTCCTTTGGGCCCATATGAATTATGGAATTGGCTATTCCAGTATCAGTTAACATTTTGTACCAGAAGCCCTGTGCTTGTAATGGTGTGCATACATCCTCTTCAGCTTTTAACTGTGCTGGAACATTTTGAATCTTCTTCTCTAAGATTGCTACTTTTTCAGATGTCCCCTTTGCTACCAGGTACAGTCCTTGAAGGACAGCTGCCTTCTTCCTGTTTTCCCACTTTTTTAATTCCTTCTAATCCAACTAGCTGATTCTTCACAGAGTCCTCCAACGGCCTGGGGTGTCAAATGTACCCTGTTCCCATACAGTCTCCCATATTGGATCACCTCTTATTTGAGTTGGTCCTCTATTTCCTCTTTATCAGGTAGGCTATTAGTACTACCCATGCCAGATTACTGACTTTTCCCAGTTGGGCAAAACTTGAGTCCCGTCCCCAAGGCCTCATTTGTGCTTTAGCTCAAGAAGTGAAAGAAAAATGCAAACACACTCCTTTCACACAGCAACCACGCACCCAGGAGCCCCAGTTCTTTTACCTGGATTACAGGTGAACTGACAGGTTGGCTACTGATAAGAGGGAAGCAGCATGTCTACAGCCCAGCCTTTTCTTGCTTACATTGCAAAACACAAAAACAAACGCTTATCCCAAAGTCTGGCTACCTGTGACAGCACAACATAAATTCTTCTGTTTAGCATCTGGCGAGACTTAAGATGGAGAGAAGGGTGGCATGCAGACTGGCAGTAGGTATTCTTGAATTTGCTGTGTTCTCCACATTTCCCTCCAACCTATACCCTATATTTGTAGATGGCTGATTTTAATACATGTTCTCTGATAGATTTTATTTAGCTTTCTTTGTTTCACTGAAACTTTTGGAGCTGGGCTGAACCAGATCTGTGAACTTGGAAGGTGTCAATTAGTTGGGTTTTATGTTCTTTGAAAGGTATATTTCTAGACAGAGGATTCCTTATCTCCATCCCTTCGCCATTATGGAATGCTGTTCAACACTGCTGTTTCTTCACTTTAGTTTATGGTCTTCACTGACAAAGCTGCATCATTTTTATAACTTACCTAAGAAACTTAACAAAAACATATTTGTTATAGCTAAATGTATTAGATGCTATTTTGCTACATCAGTCACTACTACTGACATTTTTACATAAAGTTGTGATATAGCGTATTTGGATTATTTAACATAAAGTCTTTCTTTAAAAAGTCTTCTTTCAGGTCTTGTGCTCTGTTTAATTAGACGTCATTATTAGTTTAACTGGACATGTTGATTGCTTCCTTTACATTTCTGACCAAACTAGTTGTCATGTCTTGTAGAGGTCACTCAAACTAAAAAAAGCCTTCTGCTTTAGCCATTCTTTTGTAGGTTAGCCAAGGCCTGTTGAAAATGTCCAGGGCTGACAACAAAGCCAGTGGCTTAGATGGGGAAGATGTAATGCGCTAATTATGTCTCCTCCAGATTCCTGGCAGGATTTTGAGACAACCAAAGAAGAAAACCCTTCTCTTGCCTTACACTGAAGACCTTGGGGAGCTTAGTCCACGTTGGATGCATTTGCACAAGATGCTATTGCACAGTCATTACTGTGCATTTATGTAGTACTTGTATTAGCACTAAATAAATGCACAGTAATCAGAGTTATTGCGCAGTAGTGCCAGCAAATGTCTTTTAGGTGATGCTCCTGTGCAGTAGCATATTAGCACTGTCCATGCTGTGATGCATTACTGCACAGTCAATGTCTCGTGTTGACATACCCATTGTGTTCATCCCTTTGCAAAAAGATATGTTGAGCACTAAACTTCATAGTTATGGGTTGAGGTTTTTAAAGCCATGGGGTGATTCTAAAGGTGGTTTTAAAGGCCTGGTTCTAAGTCCTTTGGAATCCATGTGTGCCTTTCCATTAGTGTCAATAAACTATAAGCCAGGCCCTAAAATATCTAGCTACATAAACTCTCATTTAAGTCAACTGCTAAATCCTCTAACTATCCTTGAAAATCTCACATAAGTACTTTACTGTCTAGTTGCGGGAACTGGCTGATTTAAAGTATGCCCCTTTGCATGGAACATAATAAAATGTTCTATGTCCTTCCCTTATTCCCTGAGCTGTTGTGTCCCTGAGATGCATTTCCAAAGGATGGTATCTTACCTCTCTATAACCTTGGGAGCACATCAGTCATGAAGCCTTTTTATTGGCCAGTGTGTGCTGTATGGAAAGATCCTTGCTTCATCCAATTATATGCCCCACTGTTCCCCCATTGCAACTATAGCATTTTACAAAAAAATACTTAAAATGATCCTTTGATGCCTGGATTAGAATTTCTTTGTTTTCAATTTGGGTTAATCAGCAGAAGACATTTTTTTCTATACTTAGGTTACAAATCATATTTCCGAGCATGGACAGGTATTAGTGAAGAAGAAAGCATGCAGTATCTTCTAGTGTTGTTTAAATTGCAAAAAGAAACAACAGCTGTGCTTTCATTGATCAGGGACACTGTCTTTTGGTTGCCTTTCAGGATACACTCAACTTTGTGATTGGTGGAGCGTTGGTGTAATTCTCTTTGAGATGTTAGTGGGGCAGCCTCCCTTTCTGGCTCCCACCCCCACAGAAACCCAACTAAAGGTAGGTGAAAGCAAAATATCAGTGGACACTCTGGAGTGAAGTATTATCTTTCATTTTACTGGCTCGAGGTAAGAAGATTAAAGGCCTGACTTTCTAGGGAAGAAATGACCTGCCCAAGGCCTGTGACAGAGTCTACATGTTTCCTCTATACTCTCCCTGTCGTCATTCTCCCCTCCTCTCCCTGGCCCCCCTCCCTCCCCCATTCTTCCAGCTTCTCAGGGACCTTTGCCAAATTTTGACAATCCCTTTCCAAAAAGGTTAAGTTTTTCCTGCTTTAAAATGACATATTTTGTGGGGAGGTCTTTGCTGGTGGCACAGATCCTTCAAATCCTTAGTTGTCTTACCACAGCTTCATGACTGAGGTGATCTTTGGCTGGACCTTTATTTGGCAACCTAAAAATATGCATGGAGAACACTTATATTCAAATAGGTCTCCTAAAGAGAAGTGCTGCCTCCTCCTAGGTTGTTCACTGTGGCTTTTGCTGTTGAAATTCATACATGTCAGTGAAAACCTCAGTTTGCAATTCTGTTATTTCAGACCTGAGCAGTGGTTGTAGCTAAGGGGGTGTGTGTGTGTTGTGTGTCTCCTTCTCCAGAAAGATGAGCTACAAATAAGATTGAGTTTAACCTGACAATGTCTTCTGAATACCTCCTCAGGTTAGACTGTAGGAACGTTCAAATGAGGACTAATTTCTGATGTCAACTTCATGTGTTTTTTTTTTCACCTGCCTGGTATCTGGTGGTTTCCAGATTCAGTAAAGAGATCCCAGACCTCATTCTGTGATAGCTCTGATGCAAGCTGTGCAAAACCCCTAATATCTGAAATTACAGAATGGTGTATTCTGGACTTACTTTAACGAGACAGGTAGCCATGTTAGTCTGAAGCTGAGTAGAAGGCACAGTTGGTTTGCACTTTGGTTAGCCTGTAAGGCACAAATCTACCCTGCCTTCTGCTTTAGTGAACCAGGGATCATTTCACAGTGGGAAGAGGGGCAGAGCTAACTTTTTAATGCAAGTTCAGCTTAAACCCTGTTGTCTTCTCTCTAGGATGCGCTCTGCAGTCTTTCAGCACGTTTTTCTGAGCTAAAATCTATTTTATTTTTTACTTTGAGCTGGACTTTGATACATATATGTAGCAAATGGGATCCGTTCTTCCCAGTTTTCCTGTCTTGCTCACAGTGAGCGGCATGTTTGTCACCTGCTCATTGGATTCCTGCATTTCAGAAGTACAAAGGCAGGCTGCAAACTAACCTGCTGCTTACAGTTCTGAGCTGTCAGTCTTAACAAACTCTGGGCATTTGTTCACAGGTGTAGAAATGCTGACCATCTTTCTCTTCTCCAGGTAATAAACTGGGAGAGCACCCTACACATTCCCTCGCAGATCAAGCTGAGCCCCGAAGCAAGTGATCTTATCACAAAACTGTGCTGTGCTGCTGAGGACAGACTTGGAAGAAATGGAGCAGATGATATTAAGGCCCACCCTTTCTTTAATTCTATAGATTTCTCCACTGATATCCGCAGGCAGCCAGCTCCCTATGTTCCAAAGATCAGCCATCCAATGGACACCTCAAATTTTGACCCTGTTGAAGAAGAAAGTCCTTGGAACGATGCTAGTGGTGACAGTACCAGGACATGGGACCCACTTGCCTCTTCAAACAGCAAACACACAGAACATGCGTTTTATGAGTTTACTTTCCGAAGGTTCTTTGATGACAATGGATATCCATTTAGATACCCCAAACCTTCTGGAATCGAAGTTAGCCAGTCTGAGAAGTGTGATGTAGAAAACAAAGATGTGGTGGATCAGACTGGAGCCTGCCAACCTGTATATGTGTAAATTATTGTACAGAGTACTCCAAATGATCTTATTTGCAAGTCCCAGAGGGCCTTTAGCTGACCCCTTAGGACCCAACCTTGCAGCTCTTACTCAGGCACAGCTCCAGTTGAGGCCATGGTGCATCTGGGGAGTTGAGAGCCTGCAGGGCCAGGTCCTAAATGGGCACTCTTTTGTTCAGGTCAGTTTTATTGTAAATAGCTATGCTAATAAATGACACTTGAAAGCCTGGTCTTCACCGCTATCTGCAAGGCCAGCGATCTGTCATTTCTAGGCCTGTTTTTTGTTTGAGGTCAGCATCCCCCTACTCTGATCAGCATTTACGGACTTCCACAACTTTCCACATTATTTTTAAAAGAATAAAGAGCACTTATATTTTGTTTATAGCAAGGGTTTTTTTCCTACTAAATTATAGGGATTAACTTTGACAAATCATGCTGCTGTTCTTCTTTTCTACATTTTTATTTTATCCATAGCACTTATTTCACATTTAGGAAAATGCATAAAACTGAAGAACATGTGATAAAAGGTCTCTGTGCAATAATGTAAAAAAGAAAAAAACTCTGCTCTCTAATTTTCTAAATTTACTGTTGTCATTTTATTCACACCATGATTTTTGTTTCCATGTATGTATTTTCCACATTTCAAAATTGTGACGTAACCTTAAAGCTGCTTTATTTCCTTCTGCTTATTGGAGTGTAAAAGAAAGCGTGAGCAAGTGACAATTTGGGTGTGATTTCATTGTCTGGTGTGTGAAGAATGTTGCATGAGCAGTGTTTTTTTCTATATAAAATGGCCTTTTCTTGCCATCCACGGGCAGGTCCTGTGGATCCATTTTTACTGAGGGTCTAAAATTAGGCCATTTTAAACAGTGTGTTGATAATGTGTTGTGTGGATGATTTCCCCTTATGATTGTAGCCAATATTATTTTTGTAAAACAGATTGCAAAGTTATAACTCATTAACAGTTGTTGTGGACTGATAAAATAGATCATTTTTAGTAAACAGGTATCATCTGCACCCTCCCTCCCAGAAGGATACATAGCAAGACCATTATTTCAGCATTAATTTACTGCAACAGTCTTGATTTAGCTCATTCACACAGCACCCACTGCACAGTGTTCAGTATTTAAAACTTTGCCATTTA